GCCACTCCGCATCAACAGTAACCTTCTCAATCTTCGACTTTTGACTCCAAGCCGCGCGGAAACTCTCCTCCTCAGCGCGCCAGCGGCGGATCTCAGGCGTAAGCCAAGAAACTGCCGCATCAGCACACTCATTCACAGCCTCCTGGGCAAGAAGATGACCAGCCTCCTCGAAGAGAACATCACGCACACGGCCTGCAGAAACACCGCCACTACCGCCCAGCCCAGTGCCGGTGTTGGCGAGCTTATCGGCGCGCATGGCGGGGTTACACATATCCGACTTGCCGGCGAAGATGTACAGCACGCTGGGGCGCAGGAATGGGAGCTGGGAGAAGACACGGGCTGGCTCTGGACGGTAGAAGGGGTAGGTGTGTGGGTGAGTTGCGTCTAGATCTGGGTGTGTTACGCGGTTGATAGGATTGGTGCTGTTCAGGGGGTGCGTGTAATTTGGCCGCGAGAAGGTGAACACTTCTTGATGCAGTGTGGTTCGGAGGGTTACCGGGGGCCCGGCGGCTTTGTCTGTCGGGGTCTTAGGGTCTATTGGGTGGATGGGTGTTGGGAGGTCGCGCAGGCCGTGCTCAATCCAGCGAGATAGCACTCGTGGGTCCCAGGTTTGATAGAAGGGGCTGCGGCGGAACCCTTCTGCAGCGGCTTGGCGAGAGGGCCAAATATCGCGCCGGTGAGTTGATAGTTGGGTTGTTTTGGCGATCTCGCGCTTATTTACCTGAAGCATGAGACCGTCTAGTTGCGTGGTTTGGCGTTGGATCACTGGGTCCAGGAGGACCAATGTGTGGATGAGCCGGGGGTGCATTAGGCACAGTTGTGTGCTAGAGGGCATATTAGCTAGCTGCTGTGTGAATGTTCTGGTTATTGAAACTTACAGATGAGCACCTCCCATACTATGTCCAATGCCAACGATAGGCCGAGGCATTTCAGCCCGCTTGACATTGACTAGGTGGAGGAGATCTCGGGGGTGGTCGAACCAACTAGCTGTAATAAAGTTAGCATCACAATTGCTTCTCATAAGACTTTCACATTACATACGATCATTTCCAAGGGAGTCTTCATTGATCACGCCGCTCTGGCCTTGCTGCGCCACGTCGGCCATCCAGATACTGCGAATGCGTATCCCATTCTGCTTGGAACGAGCATGGATTTCCTCCCAAAGGGGTTCATATAGTTCCTGCGAGAAACGATCAGTACATCGTCGATTCTATGCTTCAAATGCCATCGCGATGCGCGCGCAGCTCCAAAAGCGGGTCTGGCGGCTCTGGACCTCGGCACTTTGTATCTCATACCTTGGGGAAGCCATTCGCGTGGGCAGCAAGGATAGTAATATCACCTGGTTGCGGATTGGGATTATCTAGTGGGATATATTGTTTCACAGCCAGATGTAAGGGCTCTTCTTGGTCGTTGGCGGTGGCTCCGGGATACTCCCTGATGTGCTGAGTGGGCACGACATGCTCAACGATACGGAAAGGGGATGCCATGGTGTACAATGCTGCCCTTTGAGAGAGAAGAGATTGTATTTATTCCAGTTCGGAATTATTATAAGATGTAAGGGATGGACTTGATAAAATTCCGAGAGACCGCGGTTTTGCGGGGAAACAAGCCGAGGATCTTGGGGTTTGAGGCATTCGCCTCTATTCAACTGCCGATATCTCCGTTTTCATAACAGCTTATACTAGCTGCATATAAATATGTAAATTCAATTAAATAGCATACTTAGGTCTTGCAGCTGCAATAATTAATAGTTACGGTTGGTTTGAGCGATAGATCGGATATCCAAGCTATACCCTACCCTCTGTCAACTGAAGGAGGCTATAAGTTATCTTTTTATAGCAAAAGACATCTCTAAGGTTTATTTTGTCTTAAGTCAAAGACAAGAGAGACAGCATTGCCACTAAGACTGTTCCTGACATGATATTCCCGAACAAGCAAAGATGCTACATTATTCTATATACTACTCTGCACTGAGAGCAAGACAAGCATCAACAGCTAGACCAACCCTACAAGGAATAGTTAGTCGAGGCTCAATAGAACATTCAAACATCCGCAGGGATAGAAAGTACTCACCTCCCCTCTTTCATCTTAACGACGTCATCAATAAGTTCACGATCTAGGTTGGGAAACATGTTCGAAAGTGTCTCGACAACATTATTATGCTCAGCACGCTGGATGCGGCGCGCCTCCGCATCTTCAGCACTGGCCTGGCGCGCAGCGGCGTCCTGGGCGTCGAGCACACGGGTTAGATTCTTCTTCGCGGAGGTTCCGCTACCGCGGGTGGAGTGGGCGCGCTCATCACCTGACCGTCGGCCGTCCTCGCTGCTTGCGCGAGGGGGCTGGTAGACGTTCGGGGTGAGACGAGGCGGAGCAACACCAGGTTGGGGCGTCGGGACAGGCTGGGGGCGTTCTTGAGAAGCGGCAGAACCTGAGTCTGGGTCGTCGGAGAAGATGCGGCCGATGGTGGAGAGGGGTTTTTGAATTGTGCGTAGTAGTCCTGCGACTGGAGCGGAGGTGTCGTCGTCACTGGATTGGGTAGTTTCTTTGCGGCTTGATCCGGCCTGGGGCTGAGATGGAGGGGGTTGGGTGGAGGGTTTTTCTTCAAGGCTTTCGGATTCGCGGTTTTGTTCTGCAATAGCGGACACGGCGGCTTCGACGTTGCGTTCGAAATCCTCGTCGCTGACAGTTAAACTTGTGCGGTCGAGGCTCTCAATGAATTGGATGGCTCCAGACTAAGAGAGGTCAGTTTTTGATATCTAGGGCAGTATGGAAGTCAAACATACCAACGATGAGATGTAATACCCTGCCTCGCCGCCAAGTTTGTCCTGATTGCGGAAGCGAAGAATGTATTGAATATTAGAAACGAGATGGTCAGGGTTTGCATGCAAAACCACATAGATCAGGAGGGGGATAAAAGAGTCGGCGGATGTGTCGCCCTTTTTGGAATTCTTTAATAGACCAAAGATGACTTTGCAGCAGTTCAAAATGCAAATGACTTTATCTCGAGGAGCCCGGTAGCCATTGATTTTTGATATTTCTGTTAAGCAAAGTCAGCAAGTTGGAAAACTTCCCAAGATAGCTCATAGTACATACCTTGCTGTGCCAGGTTCAAGAAACGGCGTCCACCGCCGCTGACAGTTGGGATGTCCAGATGCGTTTCGTTGACCCAGCTGTAAATCCGAATCTTCTGGGCCAGTATATCGTCTCGCTCAATGTCCTCCTGATGCTGCCCACGTCGCCACGGGCCATGAAGCCTCTCTAGCTCTCTCCGTCGGCTCCGACTAGCGCTTCTAGGTATTGTTGGCGGAGCTGGAATAGCTGGGGCGAAAGTCTGCGAATACAGGCGGTTCATAACAAGTTTCTCCATGCCTTCCTTGGCGTTATCGAATTCGCTATCCGATACATCTCGCCAGATCTCGCACATGGCCATCTTATTTGTGATAAATGTCAGGAAATCGCTGATGATCTTGACTTGCTCGTGGACCATCCATTGCTTCTTGCCAAACTCCATGAGGAACGACCGCAAAAACTTGGCTACGGGGTCGGCGGTGCGGTGACGCAGCTGCTCTAGGAAGCGGTGGAAATCGAAAGGTTGGTCAGACTCTGGCTCCGGCAGTGGTAGGATCGTCGAGGTGGACGCTCGCCGGTTTGATACCGGCGATTCGGGCTTGTGGGGATGTTGGGATACAGGCTGCTTCTCCGGGGATGTAGCGACCGGAGAACCCGCAGACTCGGTGGAAGGCGCATGGTCCAAACTGGATTTGCGTGGCGGGAAATATGTTGGACCGCCTCGGAATTGCTCAGCAAGCTCGAGCCGTGGAGACATGATCTCTTTTTGGTCGGTGCTCCGCGCGGGGTCCTGGAATTGTCCCATAATACTTTGAATCTCCGGCTGGGAGGCATTATCGTCCCTAGGCCCTTCAACCTGAGCACCTCGTTTATTTTCTGAGTCACTATCACCAGGCACATCTGGAAGCTCTTTCTCGGGGCTGGGGGTCCGGTTTGTATTGATGGGGGGTAGTGTTGGCGGAGTGGTCGTGGAGCTTGCGTTGAGGTTGAGGTAGGCATCGTCCTTCTGGGGCGGAGGAGGCGGAGGAGTTTTTGCGCTGGATGACAGATTGGGTGTCGTTTTTCCTGAGACTGACAGTCCTTCCATCTGCCCCGCAAGTTGTTGCTGCTCAACCTTTGATGGTTGGGCAGCTGTCGTCAAGTTCATCGCGGCGGGATCGGAGAGAGCAACCGCGGCATGTGGCTCCGTTGTCTCTTCTGCACTCATTTGGACCGCTTGACTGCTGTCTGATTTCGCGAGATCGTCCTGTGTTCGGGGTAGGAGATCGGTTGGGGCGGCCGGCGTCTCAGTGGATTCATGGATATGGGGGACGTCTCTCGTCTCGGGACCCGGAGAGGACGGGGGTTCTGTGGCCGACATAAGCTATATTAACATATGCGCCCGGGCAAAAATGATAGATTCAGGGGGTCATAAAGGCTACAAGTATGCTCATGCGGCTCTCTCATGTTGATGTGCGGATCATCATTCAACCGACGTAGTCCGCTTCTTGATTCAGCCTACATCTATGTATGGAGAAATGAATGCCCAGATGGTTTTTGATTTTATATGAGACTGGGATAACAGCAAAAAAAGTATCAACAGGTACAGTATTATGGATTTGGTAGTCAGCAATAGTGATCTATCTATCACCTACATGCAGTTCCAACATGCTCAATCTGTGTACCTTGATAGATACTTGCATGATGCTATTTACCTTTCACTGATCTCAAGATCAGCCCAAATATAGAGACAAATACATTTAACAAGAAGCATCAATGTATGAGTTCAACATCTTACAATCCATTGGAATGCATCAGCTGGACCTCATGGCCCACCTCCTTGGAGATTTATAGACATGACTAACTATAATGCCTCAGGCATCAATATATCCAAAAAAGCCACCAAGCTAACCATCTCAGAATAAACAACACTCCCACCCTGTTTCTCCGCCATGTGTGGGATTTTCTTCTCGTTGAGCTCATCAACACCCACACCATCAACACAGGAAACCTGCACTCTGCTCCAAAAGCGAGGACCAGACAGCTACAAAACTCATACGGCGCAAAAGGATATCAACGCACAGGATGGAGTGTCTGCGCCCCTTATTTATCATCTCACTTTCACATCCACAGTGCTCTCATTGAGAGGCGACCATGTGTACAGACAGCCACTCGTAGATCCCACAACACAGTCCGTGCTCTGCTGGAACGGAGAAGCCTGGAAGATCGATGGGGAGCGCGTCCAAGGCAATGATACTGAACGCGTTTTCAACTTATTTCTACAGGCAGTGGAAAGTGATCAGAATGACTCTGTTGAAAGAATGGCGGAGGCTATTGCAAGTCTCTCTGGGCCATTTGCCTTTGTCTTCTATGATGCGGTCAACTCAAGACTCTTCTACAGCAGGGATTGTCTCGGGAGGCGATCTCTCCTCGAGGGCTTCGATGAAAATGGGAATTTTAAGATCTGCAGCATTTGCGACAGTGCATCGGTGGATTGCTTCAAGGAAGTGGGCACCGAAGGCGTTTGTACGATTGACCTAGCTCGCTATCAAAATCCTTCTTCATCACCCAGGGAGTTGTGCCAAATTGAGATCATGCCATGGAGCTCTGCTGCTTCACCTCCAGCCGATCATATTGTATGTCCTTCATATATTTCCCGGGAGCAGCAACTGACAAAGAGACCAAAGAGAAAATCAATTCCACCCATGAACACATCACTACCAATAGAGCAGCCTCCTGCATTGACAACAGACTCAGTATTCGTCAAGGAGCTCGAGTCAAAACTGCGTCAATCACTCGAATTGAGAATACAGAATGTCCCCGTGCCTCCAGGGTACATTGCAGGCCAAACCGCCAAAACAGCCGTTCTCTTTTCCGGCGGTTTAGACTGCACACTTCTCGCCAGACTGTCTCATGACATTCTCCCCCTGGAGGAACCAATCGACCTCCTCAATGTAGCATTCGAAAATCCCCGAGTGGCAGCAGCCGCAAAAGCGAACCAACAAAAATCCCCCTCCTCAACACCACCCCTCTCTATCTACGAAAACTGCCCAGACCGGATAACCGGCCGGTCCGCTCACATCGAGCTCCAAGCAACCTGTCCAGGCCGCACATGGCGCTTCATCGCCATTGACATCCCCTACGCAGAAACTCTCGCACATCGGGACCAAGTCAAGCGCCTGATGAGACCCCACAACACCGAAATGGACATGTCCATCGCATGCGCCTTGTACTTCGCATCCCGCGGCCAAGGCACAGCCCAAACAAACCCCTTAGCCCAACTCCCAACTCCAGACACCCCATCACCCATCTACACAACCTCCTCCCGCGTCCTCCTCTCCGGCCTGGGCGCCGACGAGCTCTTCGCCGGCTACGGCCGACACAGCGTGGCCTTCAACCGAGGCGGATTCAAAGATCTGATCGCCGAGATCGATCTCGATGTCAGTCGGCTCGGTTCGCGCAATCTCGGTCGCGACGACCGCGTCCTCTCCCACTGGGGCCGCGAGACTCGTTTCCCATTCTTGGACGAGGAGTTTGTGGCTTGGGTTCTGCGGGCGCCTGTGTGGGAGAAGTGCGGGTTCGGACTTCCGGAGATTGATGCTACGGCCGGTATTGATTCTGAGAAGTTGGCGCTGCGGCTTGTTGCTCTGCGGCTGGGCTTGGTGAAGGTCTCTCGTGAGAAGAAGAGGGCTATTCAGTTTGGCGCGAGGACGGCTAAGATGGAGACGGGGAGGTCGAGAGGTACGGATGCTTTGAGCTGAGATGGACTTGTCGCGGATGGATTTCTGCTACATGTTCGTTTTCGAGGCTTCGTGTTTGGTGCACGCATCCCCCATACATCTTCCTACACGTCCATCTACTCTTTCTTTCTCTCCATTGTAGATTCCTCCTTTTCCTTGCACTCTTCTATACTATGACTCTCTTCTCCCCTCTCCGCCACCAGCTATGATGACAGAACATGGAAACAGATACTTCCGAAACATCTACCTCACCCAACAAACCGACCTTCCTTCATTTCAATACACCCAACATCTACAAGTACACCTATCATCTCAGATACCTAACCCCTGCACACCAGAACCCCAAACGCCCCATTTCTCCTAGTGTCTCCCACCCTCTTCCGTTCATCCATAGAGCAACAGCAGTCTTCGGACGGCGCGTAGCTCATGCTGAAAGGAAGCGGGCGAGGCGCGTTTTTAGGGAGGAATGGAGTGCTGTTCGACTTTTTGGTACAGGGAGGGGATTTGGGGTTGGGTGTGAGTGTGGATGGTATGAGATGGAGGGTGGTTGGGGGATCGAGATGTGTTTATGAGGCATTTAAAAGGCAAGTCTGAGCTGGTTAGATTTACACTTTCATTTTCACCTTGAGAAACATGCAGATAGACCATGCTATACTTGGAAGTAGATTGATACCGGGGCTACACATAATATTTAAGAGGTCGAAGTAGAGCACGGTTTACAAGTAAGAATAAGATCTAAAGCAATAGAATTGATTCAAAAATAAGCAAATTCCATATTAAGATAGCCACGAGTCAATCCCTCAAAAGGGAGACAGTCAGAACCGGCCTAACGAAAATAATCGAAAACCAAGTAGGTAAACTAAAGCAGAGCGGAGAAACGAAAATGAGACAGATCAAAAAAAAGAAAAGAAACATAACTGAGGAACATGTCTCGAACTTTTAGAGAATCAGATGAGACGAACCAAATCGCGTTCATCTGATCTCGGTGAGACGTCGGGGCTAGGCTTTACCCATCACCCGCGCCTACCACAATACCCAGAGGGTCATAAACCAAAAACATTGAACAGTGAAACACAAAACATGAAGACTGAATATGCAATCGTTATAATCGTCAGAACCACCAAGTGGGCCATAAGCCAAAGACCAATGTCTCAAAAATTAAGACCAAAATGGGATGAAAGCATCACCATTACTGGTAGGTGTTTTGAATCTGAAGCTGGGCCTTGAGCTTGGCAATCTCCGCGTCACGCTCAGCGATGATCTTCTGAAGATCCTGGATGCGGCGCTCGGAAGTGTACTGGCGTTCCATCTTCTTGGCACGCGACTTGCGAGCCGCCTCGGTGTTGCGAGCGCGCTTGGCGGCAATAGGATCATTGGGATCGAACTCAACAGGCGACAGGTTCTTGCGCGATCGTGCGTTGACACCTGCGACGCTGGAGTGCTTGACTGCACCGGAGGCGGGAACAGGTGACGATGCCATCGATCGCTTTGCGCGAGGGGAGACAGGAGACATGGGAATGGACAGAGCTGGCTTCTTTTCTTCAGTAGAGAAGGCAGCTGCGGCATCCAGGGTAGCGAAGTCAAAGGCATTTAGTGGATCTGACGAGTGATCAAAGAGGGAGGGCCATTCTTCGTGGCCGGCAATATCCATGTCGGTGAACATGGGCGAGGTGTTTTGGCTGAAGTTGCCGGGCGATTCAAAGGATGGAGTGCTCAAGTCGGTGAAGGTGCCAGAGGGAGGAACGGACGCATCCATCATGAGGTCCTTGGGCGAGATGGTGCCAGGAGGACCAGATGCGAAGTCGTTGACCAGACCGAGATCGTTGAACGAGAGCGGCGAATCCATGCTAGCAGGGAAGTCGGCAGAGGGAAGACCGAAAAGATCAACCTCGTGAGCTAGGGTGGGGTTAGCGATGCGCTCGCTAGGATACGGTAAGATGTAGGATAAATTACCTTCCATGAAGTTGGGAGTGGACATGACACGTCTATATGTTTGCGCGTTGTTTTTGTGGTTTTGCTGACCGTTGAAAAGGGGGATGGGAGGGCGGTTGGTGTTTGGAGAATTGGAAGGCACAGATGCCGTAGAACGGTTGTGCGTAAGAGTGGGACGGGACCAATAAGAGGGGGACCGGGCAAGCTGGGTCACTCTGGGGTCTTGGACAGGAGAGCCAGAGAACTGCTGCTGAAGATGCCGGTGCAACTGCAGACTGAAGGAGTGTCGTCGAGGGTTATTCTGCGCCAGGAATGGCTGAAGTGCAGAAGGTCTATGGGTTGTGTTCACGGGCACACGCGAGCGGGGCTGCGGGTGTGGTGTTGCTGATGGATAGAGCACGAAGTCCTCGAGTGCACTGTTGTTGTTCTGGTTGTTCTGATTGTTCTGATTGGAAGCCAAGGGCTGGGACGGGGGTGAGGGAAGCCATGGTTGCTGGTGGTAATCCGTGGTGAACGACGTTAAGTCGATCGGGGCAAAGTTGTTGGGAGAACTCGAGCTACGCGATGCGATGCTGAAGTTCAGAGGTCCAAAAGGAGACTCTGAAGGGGGAAGAGAGGAGATAAAAGGGTTGGTTCTGGTTGAAGAAATAATGTCTGTCTCAGTTGAGATAGACTGGTTGTTGAAAGACGGGGGGCTTATTGGGCACCCATTTTGGCGATAGTGAAGTTGAGTATAGTTTTGGTCAGACAGCAATATGGCGGTGTTATGGTTGTATGGGGTGGATGTGTGTGAAGAAAACAGGTATAAGGAGGAAGGAAAATCAGGCAAACGGGGAGGGGGAACTCAGGCACTTCTTAAGGGCTGTGTGCCCTGGTGCTGACCAATCGGAGTTCCGGAGCCGCACGGGGCTTAGTCGTAGAAGTCACGGGGTGTGAGTCACAAGTGTGATCCGTGGTTTTGATTGGTTACATTGAACAGGCATCCATCCGGTCCACAGTACATGAATAGATACTTACATAGTTGCCTGCATTTCCCTACATCATCGAGGTATCTTTTAAGTACCTGTCTCCACCAACCTCTCCGCGTCTTTTCAAATTGACCAATAATCGTTCGAATTCCTATCCCTCCGGAATATCCAGGCATACATTTTCACTTTTTTACTTTTTACAATTTCTTTTTCTACTCTTTCTCTATTATTATTTTTGAATTTATTTCCCAAATCTTCTTAAACCTATACACTCACATACACTGTAGCGAACTGGGTTTCTCAAAGGGAACAATTCTAGTAACTCCAGATAGTACCGGGGAGGTCCAGCCGTTCTCCATGAGGATGAGGATGTAAAAGGATCCACCGATCTTTTCCTAATTGTGTCCCCGCGGTGGGCGGAGTACATGGGCCCATGTCCTATGAAATGCAAGCATTTCTTTAGTCCTGCCGAAGGGCGTGAAATTGACTTTTTTTGACTTTTCTGTCTGAAGGGTTTTTATTTGTATGCTGCTCAGTATATATAGAGATATGCAAACCAGTTGGAGTGTACGTATACTACTTCCAAGGTTTCAGGGGGAAAAATTGCTTGGGAAGCACCCGTGGACGATATATATTGGTTTACTTCGAAAGTTCTTGGACCAACTATTCTATACGGAGTACTTCTCCGTCCAGATCCAGTTACGGAGTAATTAAAATTAAAAAAAAAAAAAATTTCTTCTCTCTTTTCTTTGATCCTTTGTGGGTTTTCATGGTGCCAACGTACCTCATACTCCGTAAGGGGCCGAGGCTTCGCCGAAATGGGTGCCCGCTGGAAGTCTGCATGTGTGATGGAAAAAGAAATGTCATCATGATGGCCTAGCATAGCTGATCTTGAAGTCTAGACCTCTATCAGCTCTCTTACAATCAATATAGCATTATATTGCTGAATGTTAAACGTAGGTAACCACAATATGAGGCCCTGTGAGAGGTCAATATCATGAGCATCATATATCTCTGCCTAATCGAATGGTGGTTTCCTAAAATGAGATAATTCGGTACGCCAATTCGTCAAAATGTACCCCAGAACACCAACGCATCGCGATGGGGTCGCTAGATCATCAACTACGAGTATTGCTTGCATATATGCAACTAGGGTGGGGCTTTCCCATCTAAGCTTCTGCCGCTCCTTTCGTGCCGCCCATACCGAAGTTCACGACTGCTTCTGCTTAACAGAGCGCCATTCAACCAAAAGACAGGCCAATACGACTGTAAGGTACCAAGTATGAGTCAAGGTCCGATACCACCCAAGACCTCGCCCCACCGCTGTATAAGAACCCCATTCTTAATATCGCCAAGTCCGTGCTCTTCAATATACGTAGGTGTCAACCCTGGTACGACATCTGCCAAACTGGACGACAATTGATTCGTGGACATAACCTGCGCAATGGCGATAAACACCGCTGGGCCCATACTCCGCCCAAATAAGATGACCCGATCCCAAAATTGACACCTGCGGCACTCAACGTTGTCTGAACAGCCGCCTGGGGAGCTTGGAAGCCGATGCCTCCACTGAAGCCCGCGAACCCCGAATATAGGACGATATTGGTTAGGGATGTGTGGAGATCGTACGATGTGATCAAGCCCGCGGCAATTGGCATACATATGGAGCCGAAGATCATCAAGGGGCATAGTAGCCGAACGTGATTCCGATGCCATGAAGAAAGAGTCCGAGCATCATTCCAACGAGGATGGGGATCATCAGGTACTCGCTCTCACTTGGGGTCTGGCAGGATAGGATTGTCAGTGCGTTTTCCTGTACAAATTGGCCATGAAGTCTTACCCGGGATCGAACGACTTGATAGTACGTTGGTAAGTACCACACCAAGACATTTGTCATCGAATTAGTGCACGTCGTGAAGATGAAGCCCGCGATGCCACTTCGGTTTTTGATGATGCCGAAAGGGAGTGCTGCTGATTCTACGCGTGGGTATTGATTGAAGATGAAGCGGCGAGGAGCATACCAAATACAACGAACAATGCAGTCACTTTCCTATCTGACCATGGATACTTTGTCCCCGCGCAAGATAGCGCAACGAAGAGCGCTGTCAGGGATGGGATAAACAAGCAATTGCTGACGAGATCCAGCTCTCTGGTTTTCTGATTCAGTGTCAGGTCGTCCTCCTGACGGGTTCTTGGGTCCGAGAAGAGAAAGAACGTGGTCAACAGCGATAGAACGCTAATAGGAAGGTTAATCCTACGAAGAAGTCGTGTTAAACTACCATAACCATGTCTGTGACTAGAAAAGCATACCAGAAACACCATCTCCACCCCAAGGACTGCGTCAATGCACCACCTACTATAGGCGCCGCAATGATCGCAAGCGATTCCACACACGCCATGAACCCCGAAAACCCGAATTGGAACGCGCAGGTGCAGAGTCGAAAGGCAGACGAGTATCATCCCACGTGAGCGACAGTGTGGAAGGGGTTAGTGGTGCTCGGCACGGGTGTGGCGACGATGTTGGCGTCCAGGCCTCCGAAGATAAGGACCACACATAGTGAGATGATGGTGAACCAGAATTTGGGGCCTGTTGGGTAGTTTGGCTCTGTGTTTGGGCTAGATTCAATGTTGAGAGGTTCAATTATTGATTCCGAGGCCGTAGGTGGTTGATTTTGCTGGTGCTCCAGGGAAAGGACATCTGTGGTTGAAGGCATCATTGTACGAGACTCTCGAGGATTGGCACATGGCAAGAAAATAAAAGAATAGAAGAGTCACCACTGTCATACACTTGTACATCTCGGGATGTGTGGGGCCAACTCCGAGGATCTGCTCCGGGAGCTGGGACCTGCACATGTGAGAGGTCTGTGTCAGCACACCATGCCGCAGGGCAGGATCCTAACCTGCTCACCATGGCGATACCCAACTATTGATGGAGCTTAAGACTACGTATGATACAATGGAAACAGTTGTAAAGCAAAAACTGAGAGATTCTATTAAGTATTACCTATCGCAAGGTGAGCCACCTCCACCGGTGGGATATAAACCAGCCGTTCGGGACAACAATGGTAGACAACATTAGAGGGTCAATTTGGGTTGCAGGAAGAAACAAGTCAAGAGACGAGATCCAAAGATCAAGCAACAAGCAAAAAGAGCACCCATCCTCCCCACAGGGTATCAAACACAAAAGCAAGAAACCAAAAAAAAAAAAAGAAACGGCAGAGTGGTATCAATCTAGTCGGACGACACACCACGTAACGCATAATTGCGTCGCGAATAGAGTCACAATCGCGGGACGCAGGTCGTAAAGGAATGAACCGCAGTCTAAAGGGCTGCTGGCGTCGTTGGCGCCGATGGTATTATTTTTAGAGAAAAAACAGATTAATTGGAAAAAAAGCGACAGCGGGTATCTCATTGCCACCATCTCGGGTCCAGGCCCAAAATAAGGGGGACAGTGGACTACCGAAGACAGCGACAGTGGCGAGGGAAAAAAAACAAAAAACAAACAACTGGAGCGCAGTGATATCAAATTTGCACCTTTAGGTCTCAATTAAACCGTCAGGGATATCGCGAGCGGGCGATGGATAGGACATGTCCCACCACCGTTCAAACTCCACGACAGGTCTCCGAGGAGTCGCACTTCATGCGGTAGCCTGAACAGGGGTGGCGACGGCAACGTTGACATTCTTGGAGTCCTGGGCAGTCTCGACGGCCTTGGGGGTCTCCTCAACGACAGCGGGTGCCTCCTCGGTGGCAGTCTCCTTGGCAGGAACAGCAGGGGCCTCCTCGGCGGCATCAGTCTTGGCCTCGGTCTCAGCGGCAGCAACCTCCTCCTTGTCGAGCTTGACAGCCTTGCTAGGCTTGCGGAAAAGACCGCCAAGCTTGTTGGACTTGGCCTTGGTCTCCTTGGCCTCACCATCAGTGACCTCGTTGTCAGAGGAGTCAGCCTTCTTCTCCTTCTTCATGCCAAGGTTGCCGAAGAACGAAGTGCGGCGCTTCTCCTTGGGGGTGGAGACGGCCTCGGCGGCGGGAGTCTCGGCGGCGGGGGTCTCCACAGCCTCAGCGGGGGCAGTGACAGCCTCGGCTTCGATAGGCTTGACAGCGGCCTCCTCGACGGGGTTCTCGAGCTGAGGGGCGGTGCTAGCAACAGGAGTCTCCTCGACAGCGGGGGTGGTGGCCTCCTTCTCGGACTTCTCCTGAGAGGGGCTGGCGACCTTCTGGAAGAAGTTGCCGAAGATGGAAGCACGCTTGGCCTTCTTCTCGGCCTTCTTCTCATCCTTGGCCTCCTCCTTGACGGCTTCGGTAGTCTCAGCAGGGGTCTCGACAGTAGGCTCGACAACCTCAGCGGGGGCAGCAGTCTCAGTCTCAGCAACGACGGGGGCAGCAGCCTCAACGGTGGGCTCGGCGGTAGGCTCAGCAGCCTTGGTCTCCTCAGCAGCGGGAGTCTCTTCCTTCTTCTCCTCGGCATCCTTCTTGCCTAGGAGGGAACCGAAGATGCTGGTGCGCTTGCGGGATTGGGAACGGCTCTTGGAGGCGGTCTTCTCCTCCTTCTTCTCCTCCTTCTTCTCCTCCTTGGGCTCCTCCTGAGCGGCCTCGGCAGCCACAACGGGGGACTCCTCCTTCTTCTCCTCGGGCTTCTTGGCGGCAACAACAACGGCAGGCTTGGTCAGCTTCTCGAGCTCAGCCTTATAACCCTCGCTGGAGGTGATGGTCTCCTTCTCAGCCTTGGCTTCAGTAGCCTTGGCCTCGATGGCGACAACCCAGCTGTCACGCTCAGCGGCGCTGGAGGCCTGGAAGGTGTGCTTGTGACCAGCAATCTTGAAGAGGAACTCGCTGGTACCCTCCTTGGTCACATCAGAGACATCGGCCTATTCAACATGTTAGTTGTCATCGCATCGCGCAGTCGCTAGAAAGCACTTACGAGGTTCAAAATGCCAGCGGGGGTGGCCTTGTCCTCGGCGCGCTTGGTGAAGAAAAGCAGACCCTTGCCGGTCTGGGTGGCCCAGGCGGCGGTGGGGTTGGCGACGACGGCCTTCTCGTTCTGGTGGAAGACGGAGAGGTTCTTGCTCTCAACGGCCTCCTCGTTGAAGTAGAAGAAGCGCTTGGCGAAACGGAAGCCCCTAGAAAAAAGTATACCCGTTAGTCTCTGTTTTTCGCATTCGCGATCTCAGTCGCAACTTACTTGACCAGACCGGGGGCCTTGTAGCCCAAAACACCGTCGGTGGCGGGCTTCACCTCCTCCTTGACAGGCTCAGCCTCGGTGCTCTCAACGACGGGAGTCGCAGTAGGCTCGGTAGTCTCCTTGGGGGCCTCAACAACCTCGGCAGGTGTCTCAACAGCAGTCTCCACGGCAGGGACAACCGCGGGGGTCTCCTCAACAGTCTTCTGGACTTCAGACATGATTAAAATAACTGGGTATTAAAGAAGCAGAGCTTAGAAAGAAAAAAACGGTTGGGTATAGGGTATCTCGAAAAGAAAAGCAAAAGTAAGAGCACAATAGCTCGGGTATCACGAAGTAGGGGGTATTTTGCTTTGTGGGAAGAAAGAAGGGAAGAGAGGAGGGAAAGGGAAGAAAAAGAGTCAGGTTGTTGACCCAAAAATGGAAAGGACCTGCAGGGAGCCCAGAGCTCAGTGGATCCGAGATTAGCTAATGGTACTTCAGGGGTTAATTGTTTTTTTCCTTTTTTTTTTCTATTATTTTCATATTATTTTCATATTATTTCCATATTTTCTTCAAATTTATTCGTTTCACTCGTTTTTTAACTGTTTTTTTTTTTCAATATCTTCAATATCTCAATTTCACTAACCTGGATTATGGATTGTGAAGTTTGACCGAAAAGAGCTCCATCTATATAAAATCCTACGAAGTACAGAGTTCCCTGAGTACCTCGTAAAAATACGAACTTCTTTGTCTAGCATGACGCTAGACCTGAACTGAAATTAGTTAACTTCAAATAGGAGAAAGAAAAACTCTGCAAATCTTGGCTTTGAACAGTATGAAACCATCACACCATGACCTATGATCGGCCATGCAGCTTGAATCAACGGTCCCCTCTAGTATCCCCCTAATTTACCCGTGCAGTTCGGATATCCTTACCGATTTGACCGTCTATGTCAACCCTTCTTTTTGTTTCATGTTCTATTCTATATTGTATAGCAAAGGAAAAAAAACTTGCAATATATCGTCATGGCGGGGTTATTCTCGGAAGGTCATCAGACTGTCAAAAAAGTATAAGCACAATTTCATACTTCCTGGCCCCGTAAGGAGGTTCTATGATTGTTCGGTGGGCCACCGTTGGCGTTCATTCCACATCATTTTCAACACCCGTTACACAGTTCAAGGGGGGAGTTGTCAGAATTACCGAAATGATCTATTCATTATCAAATCAACTGAGCCTTTCGATGATTCTGTCGTATAACTCCGCACAGTCGACAACTCGATCCAAGCTTGCAAGGCTCTTCCTCGGAATGACCATATCGGTACTAGAATATCCCTTTAGAGGGTCATCCCTGTGGTACATGGCCCCCCACCACAAGGCAGCCCGTCATTTTGCTTCCTTCGTCATGATCAGCCTAGCACGGAGTACGAAGTACTACAAAGTACTCAGTACATTTGGACTTTCTCACATTCATCCGTATAGCTTAAGCCAGGTATTGGTTACAAAAGCCATGCACCCATCTTTAGGTTCTGTAGAATGGTTGGTCATCGCGACTTCCTGGTGCAATCTTTACTCTGACCCCATGACCTGATATCAACTCTATGATGGAGTGGCGTGGAAATCCTCATAGACAACCAACCAGCAGTGATATAACCCCTCCTTCTTGGCTCTGACTTTCATGTGCATCCTATCGGCGTATCAATTCTCTTGCCCACGCGGCAAGGATCCCATGATCTTTTTATCTAGCCAATCCCAGCACATTTACAGGTTGTCGCCTCTTTACGTGATCTGCGCATCATTCCATACAAGGATCATCTCATCATAGTTCCAATCCACGGAGTACGAAGTATACTATGTATACTCCTTACTATGTATTGCAAGAACATATTTGAAAGAAACAAGATCCACATGCTCGGAAAATAATGCCCCTAATCAAGCCCCTTTTTCTTCCGTACAACCTACTCCGTACTCCGCTACAGAAAATTCCAGATTTATCTACGATAGTATGATCAAAAAAAAAAAAAAAAAGTACGTCCCCACTAGACTATGCAGTTAGTTTCGAGTCTTAGCGAATAAGGGGTTAGCCAGCCCTACCTACAAACTCTGACACTCTATTTGGCATTTCCACGGTTCATCTAGATAGGCAGGCCCAACCTGATATATTCTTTCCCTTGGTACTTCTTTTTCTCTGCCAAAGTGTGCTATGTATGTACAATATTAATATTAATATACCATGGCATCATTTTTATATCCTTGGTACGTATGACTGGTCTACCATCAGAACGATATTTGAAGCACCATGAGGTCCCAACGCTCCGTCCAAGCATTTCCAGTAATGATAGCCACTCGAGGGAATCCACCCCCTGCTCGGAAACCCAGTACACCCTATCATGGGCCCCCCTTTCGCACCCGTTAGGGCCTACAGGGCTACTAAGGACCATATATGTACCAACCCTGCCGTCTTCGCCCTTTTTTTGTGGTCGCGAGTTCCAAATAACGACCCTGCTCCTGCTGCCTATGAATCGTTGGAATTTACCGCCATTGACGATCACATTGTTCCAAGTCTAACTTGTTGATCTTTCCTCTCTCGCTGTATGGACTAAATTTTGACACCATGCAAGTGCCATGCATAACGGAGCCTGGGCGCCTAGGGATTTCCCGTTTTTTTCGGGATGCATATTGCTCCATCTGACTACATCATAGTTCTGATAGTTCTGGGGACATACATTGTACCATAGTTACATGGTGCAGATAGCTATGAGTTTTGAGCAAGAAAAAAAAGAAACTAAAATATAGTGTCACAACAGGGCTACCAGGTCTGCACAGGCACTTTACTACAGAGTACTTTCGAGAAAGATAAAACATATCTCCCGAGCGCAGAGTAAATTAATCTTAATACTTCACGCCAAGCACCAACTTGACCTGCGGTGTACACAGGGGACGGATTTCCCGTCCATCTAAGCTCTCCGATGCCCCCCGATGACTCTAGCGCCTACAAGATCGACTTAACCATGGCACACTTTGATGAGGATGGTCATTTGCTTATTATTAGCTTGATATTAACTGTGGGTTTCTCACCCGTTTCAATCTTGTAGAACACTCTGAACAAAGTCTTCCAACGGACTGTATCCGAATTAAGTTGTGATTCAAACGTCTTGCGGTTTTTGGGTCGCACGGGAGGTGAGAGCCACAATACAAAGTTGTGGAATAGGGGAGGATCCACACAAGCTCGGGTATGGAGTCTGGCTTGTTTTTGAGGCGTCGAGTCGAGAACAAGGAGTTTTCAATTATTGATTCCCATCTGTGATATGTGTGTTCAAGCTCATTTTCACCATGCCTGGCACAAGCATGAAAAAAAAAAAAACCCTTGGAAATAAATGCAAGGTACCTGTGTGCTGTACGTTCTGCAATGTACATACTCCGTAGAGCTATTCCTCATCCTGACAGGTCAGAAACATCCTACCTAAAAAAGGGAGGATGAGTCATATCACATGTCGGTGAGCCTTGGTAGTGTCACGTGGTCTCGGTTGCTGAGCCAATCATAGGTAGTCAACAAATGGTGGAATTCTGCCACCGCCTTCCCAGCCTCCCTCTGTCTGCTTAAATACCTCCAGCTCCCTCGTTTCTTCCTCTTCTTTTTCTTTTTTCTTCATACTTACCTTGTTTGGGTGACTGCGATCATAAAGGCGGTTCACCACAGTCTGGTCCCTGCATTGCACAGCGCGGCGGAACAGGCTGTTCAACGGCCTTCTGGGTCATTGACAGGCGTATTCTTTGGCACTCTCCATTCGTGGAACTCTTTCTTTTCATCAAGTTTTGAGCCAGTGGCTCGAGGTTGGAGAAGAGATGTAGCTTGTAAATCCTATTTAATGAAACTCCGGTGACTGCTGTCCAGCTCTAGTTATTTACTTGTGTCTCTTGACCCGCTAGAGCTCCATGCGCGTCCACTAAAGCCCTTTGGGCGAAGTCCACTGTCCCCTCGGCGCCCACCAACTGCTCTTGGCTATCGCGATCAGTAAATGACGGCATATTCACCTCATGTTCATTCTAGAGTGCCTTGGTGTTTCGTTGTCTCTTCTATCAATTCTGAATTGTTGGTCTCTCACTTTCCGGGCGGCCCCGTTTTGTTGACATGACGTCGGACTCCAGAGGTCAACCTTGGAATGGCTTCGCCACCACATGTGGCGACAAAGCAGCAAGCTAACTAACTTGCCAGCATAAAACCCATCGCGACATTCTACTAAACCAAACTCACAATTCGAATTCTACTCTACCATCATCACTTCCTTCAATCTAATTTCCTCCAAACCACTGCTGAGCTCGCGACCGAACACCTCAACCTCAAAACCAAGATGCCCGTCCCCACCGCCGACCTCTTTGACAAGCAACAAAACGAAGCCAGCGGCACACAACCTCCCAGATCTGCTACACACACTTCCACCGACCAGAACAACCACAGCTACTTCGGGGCTGCGCCTGGCAACTCAGCCAGTGCGTCGCAGAATGCTGATAGTGGTCGCGCTCTGACCAAGGAGGAGGCCGATCGCCTGTACGAGGAGCGGATGGAGGAGGAATACGCGAAGAGGGATGGCGGTGCCTAAGTCAATGCCGATGTACGGCTGAACATATTTGTTCCTGTGTGCTCGTCCATTCCAGTCGATAGGCGCTGGTATCTACCGATGACTATGGGGTTGGACTTTATTTTTTTCCCTTCCTACGACTATGTATTATGAGTGTAATTATCAATCTCCAAACAATTCTGCATGTGTTTTAAACCACCGATCTCCCGGGTTTATGAGGCGACACTGTGTACTGGAGCTTCAAAGGAGCTAAGAGGTGCGTTCTCCCAGTGTGGTGGTCGAAGTCCGATGTCAATCTATATTTCCATCAAGCTTCATTCAAAAAATACGTATTGCTATCCTATAGTGTCGTATCCTTATATATCGCTACTCTATGGCATGAGACAATCCACCTATATTGTAGACCGAGTCCAGGCCGAGAAGTCCCAGACCCGCAACATGAGTCATGCAAAATAATCTACTGCCTGCTTACTTCGATACTAAATTAAGCCAACGACCAGATATATGGCATAACTGTGTCGCAATTTTCCGTGGTAACTCTATTTCGAAACTTCTGATCAGATGATGCGAAGGGGTTTGGTGTGATATATAATAGTCGTTTCGATATATATACAACACGAAACCCGATTCCAAGCACATCGTATACATACTTTCAAAATGAGCTTCTACCCTAGCCAAACTACATCCGTGATTGTTACGGCCGATTTGGATCCTATCCACACAAGTCGCCTGTATCTACGACCGCTGACAGTGGCTGATGCGGCGGCAATTTTTGAGATCCGACGACGACAAGACGTGGCGGACTGGCTGTAAGATTATACCCCAGGAGCAACTACCACGATATCCCGGGATGGGCACTGACTTGCGACTTTCTGCAGCTGGCCCAAAGTCCCCCACAAAGATATATCAGAGTCTGAGGCCGTCATTACCAAAAAGACATTCACAACACCAGACGCGTCAGGTGCTGTTGGGCGAAAGTTCTTCTTCGCTATCATCCGCTCCGAGGATCCATCACAGAGGGTTATTGGAGGAGCGGGAATCAATGCTCTTAGCCCAGCCCCGTCAGTTGGGTACAATATCCATCCTGACTTCTGGGGCAAGGGCTATGCCACCGAGGCAGTTGCTGGTATCATAGATGCATGGTGGAAGCTTGACAGAATGGGGTTTGAGGGGATTGTACCAGATTTAGAAAAAGAGAAGCTATACGCGGCGTGCAATAGAGCGAATGTTGGTAGCATGAAGGTGCTGCAGAGGACTGGGTTTGGTATCTACCACGAGGAGTCCATCGAGGGTGACGTGGTTGCACTCTTTGAGCTGGAAAATCCCACCGGATAGTATAGCAGAGGAGGTATCAGCTCACTCAGTGATAATCTGACGCTTGGGGATATGGGGATAAAAAATTGCCTGCTCAACCCTCATCTAGCCTGCCACAGGTATCTACATACTCCTTAAACCTGCTAACTGTCACTGCGAGTGGCTTAGTATTGAGAAATTTGAAAATATTTTAGTGAATCAAGCGGCCAATGTTCCATTGAAAGACCTCATAGATGACCTTGCAACCGTTTAACGCAATAAAGTAGCTGTGTAGATACCGACTCTGACCATGATACTTTTGACACAATTGCATCCTGGGTCTAATGATTGTATATTGTGTTCAATAGCAAAGAACAACCGAAAAGCAAGATGTGGGCATTCACGCTGTGCAATCTCCCTCTTTGACGTATATAATACATGAAAGATAGCTTCATTCTTTCTTCGTCAACACCCCAGTCCTTACGGACATCCAGATATCTGCATCAACAATTGCCTATTCGAGTCCGTTTTCCAACGCAATCATGTGAGTCAATGAATACAGTTGTCCGTGCGAAAGTACGATCCCGGAAACTGAACTCTATATAGGGAACTGGCAGGAATGGTCATGGAATATGGCCCCGAGCCTTCACGACAGTTGAGATCACTGCGAAATATTAAGCCCTTGCGAGACATTGTCCTCAATCATATGGCATCGTCGACCTTTTACACCAATCTTCGCCACGGTCACAAAAGTAGGGCAGCAAAAATTCAGATTGTGGGCGTTCAGCACCCATTCATTCCCTGGTAGGCGATTAGGACAGATCCCTTACTGATACAGAGCCCTGAAAATGTAGAAGAATACAGATAGGAAAAATGACAATAAGTATTAGTTCATCTGCCTAGTTGTAGTTGTACTCGGTGATGGGTGAAAGGAAACTTTAGTTCCTATATTGTATGTTGTACGATATCACGACATCACGTGAAGACACACTCACGTGACTAGATGCAGCCAGCTTGACAGAGCCACCCGAGAATAAGTCTAAGTAGAGCCCGGACTATCTGCAACAACAGAGACGAGGATCGGTTCCTTTCATTGAATCTATCTATCTACTGTCGCTCTTTAGTTTTCTCCCTTTCCCTGTCTTCTTACCAAAAGACACGGCTCCTGGTAGCCTCCTTACACCATGGCTCCGCGGGACACCTTCTTCCGCTCGGCGGATATGAGCTTGACCCAGCTCTACATTGCCAACGAGATCGGAAGAGAGGTTGTTAGTGCGTTAGGTGAAGTTGGTCAGGTTCAGTTCCGAGATGTAAGTGGCGAAGAACGCTTTGCTTCTATACTCCCCGCTGACCTTTTCTAGCTTAACCCGGACACGAACGCTTTCCAAAGAACCTTTACGAAGGAAATCCGTCGCCTGGACAATGTTGAAAGACAGCTTCGCTATTTTCACCAACAGATGGAAAAGGCTGCAATCCCCATGAGGTCTTCCTCGGACTTCTCCGATACATTGGCTGCCCCTTTGGCGTCAGAGATCGATGAGTTGGCCGATCGCAGCGAGAGCCTTGAACAGCGGATTATCTCTCTGAACGATAGCTATGAGACTTTGAAGAAACGCGAAGTCGAGCTGAGCGAATGGCGATGGGTACTCAGAGAGGCCGGTGGATTCTTCGATCGGGTAGGTGGCTTCGAGTATACCGCCGTTGACAGACAAGGCTAACTAAATAGGCCCACACACAAACAGAAGACATTCGCCAGTCCTTTGACAATGATGAAGCTCCCTTGCTCCGCGATGTTGAGCACCACGCCCCTCGTCAAAATGGAGACACCCAGGGTCAGCAGAGCTTCTCGGAAATGAACATTGGATTCGTTGCTGGTGTTATCCCCCGGGATCGCATTGGTGCCTTTGAGCGTATCCTCTGGCGCACACTGCGCGGAAACCTTTACATGAACCAGTCTGAGATCTCAGAGCCCATTATCGACCCGATGACCAACGAGGAAGTCCACAAGAATGTTTTCGTCATCTTCGCTCACGGCAAGAACATCCTTGCCAAGATTCGAAAGATCTCGGAATCGCTCAACGCATCCTTGTACGGTGTCGACGAGAACAGTGAGTTGAGAAGAGACCAGATTCACGAAGTGAACACCCGTCTCGGCGATGTTGGCAATGTGCTCCGTAACACCAAGAACACCCTTGACGCGGAACTTTCGCAAATTGCTCGCTCGCTCGCTGCGTGGATGATCATTGTCAAGAAGGAGAAGGCCGTTTACGATACCTTGAACAAATTTTCATACGATCAAGCGCGGAAGACGCTGATCGCCGAGGCGTGGTGTCCGACAAACTCTCTTGCTCTGATCAAGTCAACTCTTCAGGATGTGAACGATCGTGCGGGCCTCACCGTTCCTACAATTGTCAACCAGATCCGAACCAACAAGACCCCTCCGACCTTTGTCAGGACGAACAAGTTCACCGAAGGATTCCAAACAATCGTGAATGCTTACGGTATCCCCAAGTATTCGGAAGTCAACCCTGGCCTGTACACGGTCGTCACTTTCCCCTTCTTGTTCGCAGTCATGTTTGGTGATTGTGGTCACGGTACAATCATGACCTTGGCCGCTTCTGCTATGATCTTCTGGGAAAAGAAGCTGGCGCGGACCAAACTGGATGAACTGACATACATGGCATTCTATGGACGATACATCATGTTGATGATGGGTCTGTTCTCGATCTACACCGGTTTTATTTATAACGATATTTTCTCTAAATCTTTCACTATGTTCCCCAGTCAGTGGCAATGGCCCGAGAACATCGAGCCCAACAAAATGGTCGAGGCGACATTGAAAGAAGGCTATCGTTATCCAATTGGTCTGGACTGGAACTGGCACGAGGCGGACAATTCCTTGCTTTTTTCGAACAGTATGAAGATGAAGATGAGTGTTCTTCTTGGATGGTGCCATATGACATATGCCCTTTGCTTGCAATACGTCAATGGACGGCACTTCAAGTCTAAGGTTGACATCTGGGGTAACTTTGTTCCTGGATTGCTCTTCTTCCAGTCAATCTTTGGTTATCTTGTCCTCACTATACTCTACAAGTGGACTGTGAACTGGCAGGAGAAGGGAGTGAACCCTCCCGGTCTCCTCAACATGCTTATTTTCATGTTCCTGAGCCCTGGTACGGTGGAAGAACAACTTTATCCTGGCCAGAGCCTGGTCCAGGTTCTTCTGCTCCTCATCGCTGTCGCCCAGGTACCTGTCATGCTCTTCCTCAAGCCATTCTGGCTCCGCTATGAACACAACCGTGCTCGTGCCCTTGGTTATCGCGGCCTCGGCGAGAACTCCCGGGTAAGCGCACTTGACGCCGATGGTGATATGGATGGCGCGCTGGGTCGTGACAGTATGGCTAGCGATGGAGAAGGCGTGGCCATGCTTTCTCAGGACATCAATGAAGGCGAAGAGCACGAGGAGTTCGACTTCGGCGACGTCATGATTCACCAAGTCATCCACACCATCGAATTCTGTCTCAACTGTATCTCTCACACAGCCTCTTACCTTCGTCTGTGGGCTCTGTCGCTTGCTCACCAGCAACTCTCGATTGTTCTCTGGACCATGACTATTGGTAGTGCCTTTGATCAGGAGAACCCCGTCACCCGTGTTATCATGATTGTTGTCAGCTTCTATCTCTGGTTTGTGTTGACCATTTGCATTCTATGTGTCATGGAAGGTACCAGTGCCATGTTGCACTCTCTTCGTCTTCACTGGGTTGAGGCGATGAGCAAGCATTTCGTCGGTGAGGGTATTCCTTTCCTGCCCTTCAGCTTCAAGACCCTGTTGGAGGAGGACCCTGTGGACTAGTTCGTTTCCTTTTTTTTTCTTCTTCTCCAACGCACGGGACTGTCCCACTTCTTTCCTTTTTGTACTGTAAAGGGTCTAGAATTATACATTATCTATATTATATCGATTCATCCCTGTTATTGTTCCATGTAGATCCCTACATATATCCACACCGAGCCATTATTTATAGCATAGATAGTCCCTTTTACTTAGGTACACCAATGGCATTACCTAAATCTCAGGAACTTTTCAAGTGCGCATGACTGCGAGTGGGGTATAGGGAATTCATTCTTCCGTTGCTGATCCCGAGGCCGAGTCGGGAAAGGGAGAGACCGGAAGGATCTAGACCATTGGACTACACATCTTTGATTAGGTTGGACATATTGGTATGGGGGAATAGCTAATGAGAAAGAGTATAGGGGCTTATCATCAAAAGGTCAAATTTCCGCAGCGATCAGCAATAATAGAAGACTTTTGATAGGAAGTTCTATAGTTAAAGAAACGGGGATTCCCGGCAAGGGGGGAAACCGGACGAGGGGCGCCCCGGGAAGGTCACGCGGGGCAAAATGACGAAAACGAATGCCGGGAGCTCTGAGGTCACTGCTCTCCCCCGTACTTCTACCCGGTTTAATCCCCCCTCACTGACGTTGAACTACTTTCTTCTTCTGCCCTGTTTAAAGATTGCCTCTTTTACTACTTAACTCCTTTGAAACTCAATTGACCATACCTTTTTAATCTCTATACCTTAAATACCTCCAATACCTCAAAATGGCTTCAGGACCCCCCGTCGGAGCGGAGAACATCAACACTGATATCGTCACACTTTCTCGCTTCTTCACAGAAGAACAGATCAAGCATCCCGAAGCCTCGGGTGATTTCACCCTGCTGTGTCATGCCCTTCAATTCTCTTTCAAGTCAATTGCATACTACATCCGTCGTGCCTCTTTGATCAACCTTACGGGACTGGCCGGTTCCTCGAACATAACCGGTGATGACCAGAAGAAGCTGGATGTGATCGGCAATGATATCTTCATCTCCGCGATGCGCGGATCCGGCAAGTGCCGCATTGTCGTCTCAGAAGAAGAAGAGGAAGTGATCAGATTCGACGAGCACCCCAATGCTCGCTACGCCGTTGTCTGTGACCCTATCGATGGTTCCTCCAACCTGGATGCCGGTGTGTCTGTCGGCACCATCTTCGGTGTCTTCCAGC